GGTCACCTGGCTAGAAAATGATGACGTAAATAAAGCTACACTGTGGTACCCTAGCCAGAGTTCTTACTATGAATAGGTTGGGAGATTTTTCTGGTCTCTCTAATCTACTCTTCCTATTTTTCAGTGGAATAAAAGGTAAAGGTACTCATTAGGCAGAGGCAGAGGACCATGTGACATCTCCTTTAAAAGATTCTTTTGGACTGAGAAGCAAGGTTCAACATAAGGTCTAGGGAGTAAGAATTTAGGATAAGCATAATAGTCTGAAGTGGCCCAACCCTACAGTTAGCATGGATTACCAGGCTATTAACAACACCCACTCACAGCCTTATGTGTGAGAAACAGGTATACATATCCCCTCCTTGAAGAGACAAGTCTACGTTGCTTAGCATTCTTGGTTTATTTAACGCTTATCTGCGAGCAGGAGAATCTTGTGACCCTCTACAGGGCTCACTGTGAAGATCTGTCCATATGCAATAAGTTTATTGGTCATATAATAATAATAATAATAATAATTATTATTATTATTATTATTTTGAGACAGGGTTTCTTTGTGTAGTGTGTAGTCCTGGCTGTCCTAGTACTAGCACTGTAGACCAGGTAGGGCCTTGAACTCATAGAGATCCACCAACCTCTGCCTCCTGAGTGCTAGGATGAAAGACGTGTTCCACTATCACCTGGCATAAACTTAAAGTTTTATAATGAAGCTTTTGCTGGGCATGCTAGCACATGCTTCTAATCCCACACTTTGGAGGCTGAGGCAGAAGGACTGCCAGAAATTTAAAGTCAGCCTGGGCTAGAGATTTTGTCTTGAAAACAAATCCAAAGCTAAAATAAATTTAAGGAGACAAAAAACCTCACAATCTTCTTTCAAAATACCCTACAGTAAAATATTTGTGTATATCTTTCTTGATACACTGAAGTTGTAGATGAACTTTAACCCAAAGCTTGAGTCAATATATAGTCATGATTCGTCCAAAATAAATAGCTAAATAGATAGATAGATAAATGAAGTATCCTTAACAACCAAATTAATAGTGTCTATCAAATTAGACTGTTGGGATATTGTTAATGTGCTTATGTCTTAAGTGATCCAGTATTCTGGCCTAAGACAATTGCTGACTGGGCAAATATGGAAACCAGAGCTATGAATAGGGACAATGGTTCTGGAGACTAAATCATATGAAACAGCTTTATATAGTAATAGAAAGAAGATATATTTTCTTTAGTTATATAGCTACCTAAAATAGAATAAAAATTATCAAATATATAGCCCAATCTTAATGTATATCATTTCTTACTACAGATGACAACCTACTGACCAAGCCAATTGTATTTATTATTTAACATAAGTTTGGAAATCAGTGGCTACTGCAAGAACTTTTCCATAGAACTTTTGATTGACTTTATTTAGCACAAACTCCACCTACTTACTGTTCCCTTGCCTGCCAAAACTCAGTAACAGGGTATTCAGTTTTGAACAAGGTAAGGGTTAACGAGCCAGATCTTCAAAGTCACACTTCCTTCTAGAACCTCTCAAGACTGCCTACAATTTTTCCTTGGAAATTCCTTAAGTATCTATCTAGCCAAGTTCTTTTCCCTTTCTAAAATGTAATGTCATTTACCTATAGTATCCTCAAATAACAACATAAATGCCCTGAAAGAAACAAAGTTGAAGCCTGGATTACTGGGATAGATACCTAGCTCTGCGGTTAAAAGCACTTGCTGCTTTTGTAGAGGATCCAAATTCGATTCCTAGAACCCACACAAGGTCGCTTACAACCACCTGTAACTGCAGCTCCAGGAGATCCTAAGGTCTCTTCTAGCCTCTGGGGACACCTGTACTCATGCACAAATTTGCACACATCCATAATGAAGTCCCCTAGAATCAGAAACTCTAAACGAAAACTTGTAAAATTTAAACATTGTCAACTTAGGGAATATGAAAATCTAATGATAAAATGACTGAATTGTGTTCTTTAAAATGCTGAAAAGGAGAGTTTTCAAATTTGTAAGATATTTTGATGGAAGCAACAGGGGTAATGAATTATCAAATAGCTAACATTCAATCAGTCTATATGATGGGTTTCAAATATATTTGCAATTATGTTTAAAATTACCCTGATGTCAGGTGGCAGAAGGAAAGTTTCACTGTACCATACGGTGGGTATAACGCAATATTACTTGTTATTCGGCCACAATGTCACAACATTCTTAATATACCACTATTATTACATTTTATCACAATAGAGTCATATAAGGCTTGCCACAATCTGAATCAAATAATTTTGGAAAGTAACAAGTGAGGTTATGGGATTCTCGTGGTTATCTGAATACACATAAGCAACAGATGCTTCACTTCCAAACACTTTAATGAAAAACAAATGTAAATGTTTGCTTCAGGAGACATACAGGACAGGAAATTAAGTTACAAAACTGTCACTAAGAAGTTAACAACTGAAATACATCTGAGTATATTTATTGTAATCTAGCAACTCCTATTATTGCAACCGTCTGAATTTCTATATACTTTGCAAATCAACTGTAAGCATGCAAAACATACAACAGTTCATCAATGCTACTATTTTAATTTCTTAGTGAACACTGATTTTTAGCATGTTTGATTCAAATACTAAAACCCTCCACTGGTTAAGCATTTCTGTAAATTTCACAATGATTGTTCAAGTATACATCTACATAGAAACATATATGTTTCTACGTAGAAACATATATCTACATAGAAACATATATGTTTCTACATAGAGACATACATATATGTTTCCACATAGAAACATATATCTACATAGAAACATAGATGAAAAGGTGCCCTCAGGTTTTTTTTTGGCAGGTGTGAAGAGACTATAGTTAAAGATTTAATCTTAAATTCAGTAAACTATCAAAACTCCCTGACAATAGTTCTTGAAACCCAGCAAAAGCTGTGGTGCTAAGTGCTGAGATGACTAGAACTGAAGCTAAAGATGAGCCTGGAGGCTCTGCAGTTTTGCAACTACTCGTACCATTAAATTTCTCAATCAAATTTTGGAGCTCAAATGCCAAACTCCACTTTTCATACTTCACTATTTCTTGTTTAGGCTTTCTTCTTCTCCTATTAATCAAGACCTTACTAAGAATTTACTGAGTGCCAGGCTCTGGTCTAAGCACATTTTGCTATTTCAACGAGGAAGTGAAGGTACATTCCTGAAAATGCAGTCCTTTTGTTTGAAGAGTTTGATTACTATCAACTGAATAAAGGCACCTATCCCCATTTCATTAAAAATATAGACATTTAAGGGGTAAAAAAGATAGGATAGATTGACTGGGAAGATTTGCTGTCACTAACAGCAAATACACTTACAGATTACAAAAACCACTTACAGATTAATTTCTGTCTGGATGAGAGTTCACTAAAGCTGGCAAACTTTTCTAAGCTTTGGGTTCAAAACTAGGATAACTGAGGCCAAACAGGAAAAAAAAAGTTAAATAAATATTTGCCAACTATGCATTTTGCATCATTTTTCTAGTCTCATAAACTGAATGAGTTTGAAAAAATTATGTGAAACTACTTTGAATTTATGTAGAAAACAATCAAGATACATTTAGAACATGAAATAATAGAATCAAGAAACCATGCTGTTTCTGATAAATTCTTTGTTTTGTTATTTTCCTCTTTGCTAAACTTACTTGAAAGGCCTGGCATATAACCCCAAGAAAATGTCAGTGAAGAACAAGAATAAGCAATGGCAAATGCAATATATTATGCAAATGTACCAGATTTAACAGACATATAATAAACACTAAGTAAAAGGGTTACAAAACGTAAACACACATCTTTTTTTATGAAGCAGCAGACAGAAATGTAGCCTGTTCTTCTAACCTAATTAGTCAAGCCTTTCAACAAATTAGTTCTCTGAAACAAGTATATTCTTCAGTAGGCTTTGCATTAAAAGATTCCAGAGATGATAAGAACATATTTAAGACACCAGGTGTGTGTGTGGGGGGAGGAGGGAGGAGGTAGAACTATCAGAATACCAAGGACGGTCATTTCTTTGAGTCAACAGGCACCTTTAACATCCACCCTTTAGAGCCACCCCGGTTTAAGACTTAAGGAGATGAGTAGCAAGACTGAGAAAAAGAGGGTAATACTGTCAGCTTTTTCTAAAGAAATCCTTCTTTAAAACGCTAAAAAGTTTTGTAGGTTAGTCCCGACTTTAAGCTACCCAGGGTTAGAAGGAAGGTTTCCTAAGATAACCAGCAGAGGATTCTACAAGCCAATTCCTTTCCATGTGTATATATATATATATATTTCCATTAGTAATCATTTTAAGGTAAAAGAATGTAGGGTCCATGGTTATCTGGAAATGAGGTGGTGCTGGGCAGAGAGGAGTAAGGAGTCTGGTCTTAGGGCAGGCTTAGCGCACAGCTCTTAAGACATCTCCAAACAAGTTTCCTTCCCCAATCTTCCTCTCTGTCAGAGCAGGCTATCCTGACCACGCTTGTGAAGAGGAGAGGGGAAAAGGAGATGGGTGCGTGGGGCCGGCAGGGCACGGGGATGACGGGCTGCCCTGGAGTCCCTCCCCTAGTTTTCCCTGGAATGCGCCCACATCTTTATTCTGAACCGACCTAAGAGCTGGTCCAGGGCTGGGAGCCCGGTTGACACCAGCAGTTGTCCATTCCGCACCGACGGTCGCGTGCCGGCAATGGACAGCAGCCGAGGGCCCCCTCCGGGGCCCCCAGAGGCCTTGCCCCTCCTCTGGAAGCTAGAGGTGCCGCTCTGGCCCGCTTCGGAAGCCACAGACTCGGAGCTGAGGGTACTCGCGCCGCAGGTGTCTGCCGCCGCCATCTTGAAGCTCCTAGGATGACCCAATCGGAACTCTGGGAACTCGAGCGGCCGGCCTGTCAGAGCCAGACACAAAGTCCCGCCTACTCACCATTGGCAGCCAATAGGACTGAGATTTCCTTGCAGGCCAACAAATCGCAAGGCCTATTGCTGAAAAGTGCTGTACGTAAAGCCGAAGGCTTGTACGTGGCCCAGGTGAATCTGGTCCGTCTGAGTCCTGGCTGAGGAACTTCTCTTGGTGTTTGGGGCCGCAGGTGGGTACTGTCCTTCGGCATTCTTGGTTTGCGAGTGCCTACGTTCACCTGGAGTTAAAAGAGGAGGGAGGAGAAGCGATTTGCCCTCAAGGCTTCTTAAGCCACTGCGAGTTGGTGCTCTCTTCTTCCCTGCTGTTTAGCAAAGACGCTTCTCTTGCCTCTCTCACCTCACTGGTTTCTAAGGAAAGTTATTCCCCATCACTACCACCCCCACCACTGCCCCTCGAGACCACGTTTTCCCGAATGGTTGTGCTATCTGGAAAGTAGTAACGGTGACTTCCGTGGCTGGCTTGCTCTTGGGCTTAAGGCAGTGAGAACCCAGGGTTGGGTGGGTTGGATGGTAGACTTTACTTAGAAAATCCCCTTCGTGAACTTCGAGACCACTGATTGGGCTTTCCCGCTCTCACAGACTATACCTTTCTGACAAGTCCCCGTGAGCAGCTTTTCTTAATTTTAATTAATGTTTCTGGAAATCTCGGAGGTTGTTTCCTAAGCAGTGTGAATGACAAGTGTTACTCTGACAACCTTGTTCACACATTTAATTGTCACTTCTCCGAAGCAGCTGCAAATAACGGAAACTACTTGAAGTTTCTCTTCCCCTAAATCTGAGTAGAATTAGATTTATTTGTACCTTATTTTCTTAGTAATTTGAACTCTGGAGAGGGTTCCTACTACATTATGTGTTTTATTTGTGGTAGAAAAATCATGTAATTCAGAGCTTTTTTTTCCCTTCAAATGAGAACTGGAGGAGGAATTGGTGAAGTGATTTTTTTTTTGAAAACATCCCAGATGAGCAATTTATGAACGAAAAAAGAGACCCAAGTCAATACTAGTGTCGCTGAATTACTGCCAACAGTGATGGATAATATATGATATATGGATTGATTGATTGATTGATCTGTCCATCCATCCATTCATTCATTCATTCTGAGACAGGGTCTCACTATGTAGCCCTGTCTGGCATATAACTCACAGAAGTCTGCCTTCCTTTGCCTTCTGGTCCTGAGACTTACTGGTGAATCACAACACCTTTATATTTTTTCTTTCCCTCTCTCCCTCCCTTCCACCCCCACCTTCTCCCCCCACCCCGTTTCTTTTTTCCTGCATCATATTCAGGTTTGAGCCGGAGCCTATAATCCTAAAGAATTGGAAACGTTGAATCAGGTGTTCAGGGTTAGCATCAGCAAAACAAACAAACAGTAATAATAATAAACCCAAAACAGATAATGAAGAATCATATCGGGGGGGAAAGCAACAAGCCATGTGGTTTAGCAACACATCAGTCAGAAAGATTTGATGAAGGTTGCTTGTTTTCATTTCAAATATGTCACCAGTATGTATGGGACATACTTTTATGTTTTTAAGGCGCTCAGATAACTGCTGAACACTTCCTTTCTGCCTAAACCCAGTCTTAGGATTTTTATACAGTCTTGTCATTTTTATCAAAATGGTGGATTCCTTCTCTAATAACAAATAAAGAATTCCTATCCTAGTTTCCTAGTCTTCGTAGTTTAGATGTCAAGTTCCTTTTAGACAGATAAGGTATTTTGTTTCATTTGATTATCCTTCATTATTCTCAGTGAAGACCAATACCAATTGGAGTCACAGCAGGAAATATGAAAACTTATCGTATACTTGTGTTTGGTCTTGAGTGGATATCTCTGAGACCAAATAGTAAATAATTTAGGTTTGGCAGATAATAAAGTCTCTTTTTGAATCTACTCATCTCTTCCATGAGTAAACCATGAGATCTGGCATTAATGGTTGAGTACAGCTATGCTAGAAGCTGAAATTTAATTTCAAATAGTTTTAATATGTTACAGCATGGTCTTCCTTTTCATTTGAGCCATTTAAAAGTCAGTTATGTGGTACTTCTTTATGTTGCCACACAAAAGAAAATGGTAGTTGGAGAGTTACCAGTTGCCAGCCTGTGTGATGGACTCTTCTACCTTTCCCTGTTCTATATACTTTATAGTCTAAAATCCTTCAAGCTTCAAGTATAGCTATGTTCCTCACTGTCTACAGTATTTACTTATATTAGTTTAAAAACATACTATTATTTGAGAGAAATTTTTGAAGAAGTGTTATTAAACTTACCATTTGGAACCAGACTATCCTGTAGGTACGATACTGGGAAGAGAAGTGTGTCCCACGTACAATCTCTTTTAATGCAACACCCGACATCCTATTGCCAAAATCTATAAGAATTTCCTAGTACAGCCATAATGAATTGACTTAAACTTGGCTGTTTGCAGAAAACTTACTTTTTAAGAACATCAGAAGTATAAAATATCATCAGGATGTCAGCAGGGCCATATTTATTCCATATTTTTAAGAAACAACTCTTATTTTTTGGTTTCTGCAGTCTCTTGATATTCTTGGTTGTGAAATCACAACTTCAATCTGTCTCCAGTTTCATAATTTCCTCTTTCATGGATCAGTGTATTGTTCTCTATCTTTTACTAGGACAATATTATTAGATTTATTACCTCACTAATCTAGTATAGTCTCATGTTGACCCTTACCTTACTTGTATCACAAATAATAGATGCTCATGTACTGTGGTTCTAAGTGGATGTTAATTTGGGAAGTAGGACACTACTCAAATCACCAAAGTCTCTTCTGGGTAATGTTCATCTATAATGTAAACTTTTGTTTAATGTATTTACAGAAATTACAAACTTATGAATAATTAATTGGCAAACATGTTATGGATTGATGAGATGGCTCATGGATTTGTGATGTCTCTCGATAGTTAAAGGTGCTTGCTGCCAAGACTGATGACTGGGTCCCACCCCTAGGACCCACATGGTAGAAGGAGAGAACCAATGTGAGCAAGGTGTCCTCTGACTTCTCTCACCATAAATGCTATGGCAGGCTTGCACTCCCCTCCCAATAAATATATGTTTCATAGGACACTGGTACCCTGCATGTTAGTATTAGTACTAGCAAGTGCCAAATAGATACATTTCTTTCTTTCAAACTTTATATAGCAAGTTGTTAAGGATATTGAATATGTGTACATGACACAATAATACTAAAGTCCTATTGAGTTAAAAAAGTTTATTGCTTAATATATACATTAGTATTAGTATATTGGTATATATTAAAATAGTGGTGGTCTTTAACTGCTTTAAAGAAGAGTGAAATTAAATTTAGGTGATTGGATATTGACTTTAAAATGTTTAGGGAGGTCTCAAATGCTTACATAACTAAGAAAATACTTATATGGGTAGAATAAATATAAGTGTATTTGAGACTTGCAATACAGTGAGATTCAGATTAGTTGAAGTGCCTATAAATAGAATGAATATATTTAAGCAGATAAAATCCCTCTAACTTATATGTATTTGAAGTTGGATAAGTATCTTATTTGTTGTGAACTCTGAAAAACCAAACGCAAACTTTGACATTTCACATAGGAATTGAGACAAAATAATTTGTGTCTTTAAGATATAAAAACTGATGCAGAATTATTATAGCTAACTGTTTCATAGGTTTTAACATTAAAATATTTTGCCTAAAATTGGTCATGATTTTTTTTCACAATAGCGTTATAAACTATTTTCTACTATGTTTTCAATTTTATGATTAGCCATACATGGCGGCTCACCATCTTTAATCCCAGTACTCTGGGGTCAGAAAAATCTGAGTTTGAGGCCAGTATGGTCTATAAAGCAAATTACAGGACACTCAGGACTACATAGACTATGTAGAGAGACCCTGTCTCAAAAAAAAAAATTACATTAGATATGCATGCTGACCTGTAAAAGCAAAAGTGTGTATGGCTGCCTTATCAACTCTCAGAACTCTGACCACAGAGCTTCTTAGCTTTTTTTATATAACCTGTTATGTCTTCTAATTTCTTCCTTCTTAAATTCTCATTTGGATAAGACTTTAGTAGTCCCGTTTAATAAAGGTTCAATGGTATTGAATATCCAAATTCAAGACTCCTGCTGTCCCACCAAAAGGAAGACGCAACTCACTGAGAAATATCTACTCCTACTTTACATTAAACTTAGCCCATCATTGGTCAGAGATGCTTTCACATACACAATTTTGATTTATTGCTTTAGGAATCGGAAAAACCATGGATGACTCACACACGCTCTGAGATCTCCTATAGATCTGGGTTTTCCTGGAAACCTGCATAAACTTGGATTATCCTCTGCATAGGATTGTAGAACAGACCTATGGTAAGTAGAATTTTTAGATGGTAAGTAGTAGTTTTAGAATTCAAAACACCCTTTGTTTTCATCTGTGGGTTTCATATTCAAGTTAAGTCCTTGGCTGTTGTAAGGCTGCTCCCTGCTGGACAAAATGTGACTTTCTAAAGAGCACTAAAGGCACTAAATAGGTGAGCAAAGAACTGCTCAGTGCCCTCCCCCCCCCCCGCCGGTTGGGGGGGACATTGTTATATTCACAAAAATGCTATACTGTTGCCACCAGATTGATAATCTACTAAAGTCTGATGAGAAGGCCTATATTCTCTTGTTTCCTTATTGGTTGTTTTCTGTTTAAGGGTGTCTAAAAGTTATAATGACATATATTCAGGGATACCTGTTAGTATGGGCCTTAAATGACTTCCTTAACTGTATGTGCTTTTTTTTTTAGTGTAAGTCAGTATACTGTTATAATGATACCTGTCGTAACAATTTTACTTCCATATGCTATTGGAGAGAAAATGATTTGTGTCTACACAATACTATTCCCAGTAGTTGAAACTACTTCAGTGTAATTTAAATTAGATCATATTGGACCTATTTTGAATAGCAACTTGTGTTTTATGTTTTAATGTACTGGTAGTTAAACATTACTTGGTCTCTACCCTGTTCCCGTTGCCATGTTTGCTAGAACATAGGGAGCATATCTACATAGAGTGACAGTAGGTTAGACTTCAAATATTTTATCTGCAGCTAAGCTCTCATAGACTCTTATCATATCTATATGCAAAAGTCCTAGAATTGATTTAAAGCACATGAGAGAAGAAAGAAATTGTGTTTGCCTACCTTCAAGCCACAAGTTTTCGGGGAGTACATTCTGCACAAAATTATCTGGTTATAATCTAGGATTTTTAAAGTAAGTGTACATTTTTTGTTTGAAAAGAAAAAAAGGCAGAAATAACATTCAATATATAAGCAAAAGTGAAGTAGAATAATTGAACTTATATTCTTTCAAGGTATCCTATATTTTTATAGCTGTTGTAAAACATGTCTCATATTTTTATAGCTGTTATAAAACATGTGAAATTCATATGTAATTGGAATTATGAAGAATTAGGCATAGTAATAGTTCTTACTTATTAAAATATTGCTATAATAATTAGAATTGCAGACCAAGAACATAAACTGTTGTTAACAAGAGAATGTGCCTTTTTTTCTTTCTCAGCCAGAATGTAATATCACAGATAATACATAAGTTAAACTTTGCATTATAAGGTAATATAAGGTTATAAACATTATAAACATATAATATAACCTTTGTGTAATATAAGGTTATAAACATAGGCAAATCTATGGGGTAGTTATGAGATACCTATACAGCAAACCCAAACCACCATATACCCAGAGCATCACTCATACTCCCCAGCACTAATGCTGTTCTCTCTCTCCCTCTCCCATCTCCTTTCTCCCCTCTTCTCTCCCCCTCTACATCTCCTTAGTGATGGGAGTCTAACTATTGTTGGTTTCACATTCTGGAATCATCCCGAGACTATTGGCTATAATTTGCCATGGTTGGCTTAGTCTCCCATTTCTTTAAGGGTAACAAATATTCTACCTTTTGTTGTAACTACTTAAATTATTTCTATATAATTTTTAATTTTCATGTGTGTTCCTAAGCAATGTGTTTATATTTTGCCTCTTTTTTTTTATAAAATAGTATCTATTTTCTTATTTCATTCACATTTTGGTTTTTAAAACCTTTGTATTGATTCTTTGTGAGTTTCACATCAGGCATCCCAGTCCCACTCAGCTCCTCATCCCTTCATATCCACCCTCTGCCCTTGCAACCTCCCCAGTAAAAGAAAAAACAAACCAACAAACCAAAACAAAACAAATCTCATCCGAGAGGTTGTAGTGTGTCACAGTTTTTCACAGCGTGTCACACAATATACCCTTTTGTCCACACATGTTTACTTGCAAATGCTCATTGCAAGGAGTCATTAGTCTGGTTTGAGGCCTCCCTCTGGGTTCTGCTATGCTATCAATACTGGATTCTCACTGGGACTTCTCTTGGCTGTCATGTTGTGGCCCTGTTTAATCCTACAGTTTTGGATCTACAGGATCGGCCCCTTCACAGGCTCACACAGTTCATAGATGGGGTAGATGTTGGAATGGGCCAACCCAAAGCCCTGAATCTGAGCCTGGGTGGTAGCTGAGTTGGTCAGCCTGCCAGCTCTCCTGCACCCACACTACCAAGTGAAGCTCTCCAGCACTGCCCTGGCTTGCTCACCCACTGGTACAGCCATCAAGGGGCAGGGCCATCTTTCTTGCTCTCACATCTCCAGGCCTGCTTACCTGTATCACCAAGCCACCAGGGCCACTGGTATTCATTGCAGGCCTTGAGGGGCCAGCTTTCTTAAGCTTGGTCATCAGTGAAGGGAAGGGCCAGCTGTATTGCAGCCCTTGGACACCAACATGGTCCCAGGCAGTAGCCCAGACCAGACACATCCTCATGGCCTTTGGTGGTAATATGAGCCACAGACATGTTTCTATACAGACTCCTGCTGCTGCATGGGTGGGAACCCAGACAGGGCCCTCAGATAAACCACAAACCCAGACTTCATTCACCATGACCTCAGGTGACAGGGCAGGCTACTTCTATCAGGATACTTCTGACAGGATACTTCTATCAGGCTGTTCCTCTCCATCCTTGTGCCTCCAGTCCTGCTTCTCTTTATAGTGCTCAAACCATTCTGCTTTTCTTTCTCTCCCATCTCTCCACCACATACTTGCACATAGTAGTAGCATCCACTGAAGGCAGACCTCTGGGTGTCTTCCGCCTGCCTTTGTCTCCTGGTGTGGTAGCAGGTGGGCCTCTGGGTCAACATTGTGATTTAAAGGGTCATCCATGAAGTATGTTAAATTCTTCTTCATTCTTTCACATTATCTCCTTCTATGACTACAAATTAATACATTCTACATTTGGAGATTATTTGGTATGTCTACTCTTAGGCAATTATAAAAGTCATTGCAGTGAAAATTTTTGAAAAATCCTGATTACTGTCACTTTTTTAGATGTAGAAGTAGATGGCTTAATGATTTTTTTACAAAGCAGATTCACCCATGTGACCAGCATGCAGATATAAGGAAAGACATTTTGTAATCATTGTATAGGTCACTCATGGCACCTGCTGGTCACTTTCCCCTTCCTCTACAAGGATTAACCACTCACCTGACTTCATTGTAGGGATTACTTCTGTTATATAATATAATATATACACACATATATTGATAATTATACTGTATAGCTTTTGTGTCTACTTTCCTTTGCTCAGCATTATATTGTGAGATTTGTTGAGCTTATTACAGCTAGTTATGGGGTTTATTCTCATTGCTATATTCCAGTGTATGGACAATAATTGTTAATTCATCATTAGTACATATTTGGGGAGGTTTTATATATTGTCACTATGAACATGCTACAGTGTATCGTGTGTGTGTGTGTTGTGTGTGTGTGTGTCTAGGAGTGAAATCGTTTATGTAAATTCACACTCAAGTTTACACGGTCTGCTATTTTCTAAGATAGCTGAGCTTGTTCACACACTGCATGAGGACTCCAGGTGTGCCACACATTTTCTACGGCTTGAATTTATCTATCCTTTTACTTGTCAGGTTCTAGTGGCTATGAAATCATTATATTTGTAATTTATAATCTCTTGAGAGTTAATGAACTGGGATATTTTTTTCCATATATAGACCGGCTATTTGGTTGATTCTCTTGCATGATGCCTAACCTCCTGTGCACACTCTCCTATTTGCTCTGTTTCTTTTGATCAGCAGTTTTTTATGTATTCAAAATATGAATTTATAATTAAGTGTGCACTCTGATTTCTCTTACTCGGATTTCTCTCACTCAAAAATATTCTTCATTTTTCAGTAGTGTTTTTGATGAACAGAAGTTTGCAGATTTAATGTATGTCAGTTAAGTTTAGTCTTTCCTTGTTTAAGACATATTTGTGCATTCCAAGGACATGATATATGTGAAGTTCTCTAAGCATATTTTTTTCTGTTCTTTAGACTTATCATTTTAGACTGTATTTTCCTGTGAGGCAATTTTGCTTTACCGTTTGGACTCAAGACTATCTCTGGAGAAAGAATCACGTGAAGTGGTCTTAGGTGGTGAGGTGTCATAGTCATGCACTTTGTACAAAACAAGTCATTATGAAAATTGGCCTGTTTGTCAACTTTTTCCTTTTGTGTTTCTTTTATTGCTGCTTTGTGTTGTTATCTGTCTTTTAGGAGAATCTGCTATGTTGTTCAGACAGGAATCTGGAATAGGAAAATAAATGTTACGGTTCTCAATGTTAATGACATCGATACTCTTAAGTTTATTTATGAAATATGTAATTTTGTGAAGCATTTGTTGATAATCCTAGTAACCTAAATTAAGTATATTTTTTTCTATTAAAGATCAGCATATTAAATATACATTTTAATTGAAAGAAAAATTAGATTTTAACTTTTTGTCACCAAGGCAATATATTAATGCTGGCAGTTATATTCAAAAATTATGTCTTCTAAATAATTTTCAATCGGACTACACAATTACCATTTGTGGCTATGTTTTAAACATTTATGAGACCTTCAATTATATTTTTTTCAAAATGTCACTATATGTTCTAATCTGTGGTATTATTTACATTACAGAATTATCTTTTTGAATACCCTAATTACTTAGCTTTTATCTAGACAGTAATATATATTAGTAAGCTAGTTACTTTTATATTTCATAGTGAGATTAATTTCCCAGTTTAAGATATTTTAAAATACACTCTGATCATAATGCATAAGGTAAAGAAAGGTAGGTGACTAGACTTGACTTCTCACTAAGCATTTAAATGTTCTTCACTTGTCAACTACAATTTTTAGTTTAAAGTATCAAATTAACTATTATTTTATCCTGGCTTTTATTTTAATTCATGCATTTAAAGACTGATATTCAGATAAAAGACAATTTCAAAATAAAATCAGTATATTACTTATGAGTGGAGCAACACATTAGCATTGGGTTCACAATAGATCATATCGCTTTTATTCCATCGTACAAGCCTAGCAGCACAAACAGAATAATCAACATATTATTTGGCTGTCATGTGCTGAACAGAAACCAGAGATCACAAGGAGGTTTTCCCTAGCTGTGGTGATGGCCTTTTTGTTCCAAGCCCCCATCTGGGAGGGCCATGGTGTGTTATCATATGGAACGCGGGCTTTTCTGTAATCTGCTTAGCTGCACTGCCGTTTGAATCTTCATTCCATGTTTGTGTAATTTATAATTTTAATGAGACCATGGCTCTTGTGGGCTTTGAAATATATTAAAAGCTCTTTTGTGCATATGCTTTTGTTCTTGCTTAATAGGCTCAGTGTATTTAAAGCTGATGAATTTTTATTCATGAATTTGGATGTCTGGAGATTAACTTAGAGTGAATATCATCGCACTCATCTATTGATGGTTAGAAGAGGTTTTTTTGTTGCTGTTGTTTTCATTTGCTTGTGTGTGCTTGTGTGTGTGTGTGTGTATACCTATATGATACTTGTAACTAGAAAAAAGACTAAACTTAAATAATTTTAAGAAGCTAAAAGTGTCATGATTAAATAATAAATAGATTAAATTTTAGCCATGTTATTCATAGACACCAAATTTCATCAGTAGTGTTATATATTAAGTAAATATTGTAAAGGAATAACTATGAAAAAACAACCTTTAAATAAGCTAATACCTTAAATATTTAATTTGCATCATATTATTAAAATCACACCTAAATACTCAGTAGAGATAGACTTTATTTTGATCATGTGTTTGTGGTCATTGTAAATGAGTCATTCTATTTTTTGGTTGCTAGGCATATGTTAGGTATTTTAACCATTTTTTAGGTATTCTTATTTTCATGGAACTATTTTTAAATGAAAGCTTAAAAGACATTCATGGATATGAAAAAAAGATTTATGAAAAGCACTTTACTAATAATTTAAAAAATTGATCTCTTTGTTTTTGCTAACATTCCAGACTATACTAAATGCTTTAGGCTCTTTAATTGCTACTTAAATACATTGACAAATTTTGAATATAGACAATTTTTTAATTAAGTAGAAAAACAAATCATGGTCCGTTGTAAACTCAGACATGTTTTTAAGCTGCTCTCTGTTGCACTGGGGTGTAACATACAGAAGTGACCCAGTAGGGATACATCTATTTTAAAATTACATTTTCATTGCAACTGTATTTTAGAGGATGAAAAAGTTCTGAAAAAAAATCTGTATTTACTAGAAATGTTAACATATGCTTGTAATTCTTGCAAGTCTAATTCTTGCAATTCTGTGGCTGAATCCGGAAAATCACCATGAGGTTGAAGCTTCCTGAAACTACATAGTGAGACACTGTCTCATTAACAAATAACCAAATAGCCCAGACCAATTCTAGATTTACTGGTTTTGAAGCATCTTTTTGTAGCTTGACACATCGTGATTCCTGTTAAGTTTGCAATAGCCAGGGAAATCTCATCTCTTACCATTTCTGTTAAGCAAGAAACAAGAGACTTAAAAAACAAGATCCTATTCTGTCTTTACTAAGTTTATCCATCACTTTGACCCTGTTTTCCCTTAATCCTCTGCTAGTGTTGTATAGTTTCATCTAGTTTAGGAACTATTCTCATTTACTTTGCATTGCTATGATAAACACCCTGACCAAAAACAGTTTGGGAAGGAAACACTGTGTTTGGCATACTTGTCCTTGTCACTGTCCATCATTGAGTAAAGTCAGGGCAGGCATTCAGGCAGAAACAGGGGCAAGAGACATGGGAGAATGCTGCTTACTTTCTTGCTCCTCATGGCTTGCTCAGCCGGTTTTCTACATCTCCCAGTACCACCTGCCATTTCCCACAGTGGGCTAAGCCCTTCCACATCAATCATTAATTAAGAAAATATCACAAACTTATCCACGGACCAATTTGATGGAGGCAGTTTAGGTTCTCAATTTAGGTTCTCTTTTCCCAGATAACTTGTGTCAAGCTGGGAAAAGCAAATGAACACTAGAACAAGCTTTTTGAAAATAGACAAATGCCAACACAGTATTGTCCAGTGGCAATTTAATGTGAGCCATGTAATGTTTTTCTTAGCCAGCTATATCCAAATATTACCTAACTATTCAACATGTATCAGAAAATTTCAAAATGTATTTTTCTATGTTCTATACTGTATTCAGAATTCATTGTGTTGTATATGTTAGTTTTAACTAGTCACATTTAAAGTATTTAGCAGCAAGAGGAGGCTACACAGTGTATTATTACACAAGCATGACAATATATCAGGACAAAAATACATATTTTTTGCATTCCTTATTATTTTTCTAATAATATGCTCAAGGTAGCTAGAGAATATATGTGTGCTATGAAATTGGATTATGTTCATTTACAGTTCTATCGATAATGGTTTTGAACAGAAAACCAGGATTATATTACATGACTCCTGTGTACTAACCAAATAGGCTTAAATATACTGTTGAGGGCTTAAATATGCTGTGATCATATGATGAATGAGGAATAGTCTTCAGAAATCATGGGAAAATGAAACTAAGGATATAAAACCACATTTCAAGTATAATGAAGAGCATGTTTTACAACAATCACACAAGCAGCTTTAATACATTTTAAAGTAAAGCTAGCTACCCCTTTTATGCCCTCAGATTTTTCCAGATTGGCGCTTGTGTAAAATGGGTAGGAAGCTTTCTTTTCATATGTTCACTTATAAAATGTTTTCTGAATATATCTAGAATTTTTTACATGGAAAATTCTCTGTATGGTACTGTAAAGAGACATTATTTCACTGAGACATTCTTTTAAATATGTAACTATGAATTATAAGACCATGAGTAATAAGTAATAAGAGATGAGTCAACTATCTTACTATGTAGTTATATAATGATTATGAGGATTTGCTTTAAAAACCATAATGTAAAGCTGGGTGGTAGTGGTGAAGGTCTTTAATCCCATGACTCTGGAGACAGAGGCAGGAGGATCCCTTTGAGTTTGAGGACAGCCTGGTCTACAGAACAAATTCCAGGGCAGCTAGGGCTACACAGAGAAACCTTGTCTTGAGAAACTAAAACCCAACCAACCAAACAAACTAGTGTACCCACTTTATAAGGAAATGTAGGCCCAAGTTGGCTGAATGACTCAGCACTCAAAAGCATGTAATGATCTTGGCATAGGACCCAACTTTGATTGCCAGCAGTCGTGTCCAGTGGTTCACAACCATCTAAAGCTCCAACTTCACAAGTCCTGGTGCTTTCTTTTGGCCTTCACGTGCACTTGCACTCACACACATATACAGTCCTACATACACATATACACATACACATAAAATAATAAATAATAAATCTTAAAAAATGTGGATGTCAGCATAAATAGTTGATTTGCTAGAATAGAGCTTAGAGAAAATAAAACATTTATGAGTTCCTTGAGTTTTCCCACTTTCTGAATTTTGAGTAATATGACTTAATCTTTACACAATTTAACTTGTAGGTAGGTATTAGCCAATGCCTGTTGTATTCTTTGACTCACTTAAATTTTATTAACTATTCTCTGTGACTTTTGTATTTAAAGTGCTGACGTAAAATGTTAAACCCCTCTATAAATAACACCTCTAGTTTCTTGGAGATGATAAATCCATCCATTGATTTCCTAATTTTATTATGTACACAGTCAATTGTAATCCAAGATTACAGCAAACAAGATGTTAATTTTAAGACATAATCTATGTACATTTCAATTACAGAGCATGATGTTACAGAAGCACAGAATAAAAAGGAGTAACATTTGTGCTGTCCTCACAGGAGCTGTCAATAAAAGATGTAATAGGGGATTTAGGACTCTGGAAATGGCCAACTAATTTATGTGAATCTATTTTATTTCAGCTAGAAAGACCCAGCTTTTTCTCGGCAGTGCATATTGTGCAGCACAGGCTGTCTATACAGAACCAGGCGGCTGCATATGGATAGTCCCTTGATATCATTCACTTGCTGTGTAATCTTATTATGCAAAGTTCTAATCTTCACCTAGAATGAATGCCTCTGGGTCAGAATATAGTCATATCAGGGTTTTTGAGGTCATGTTTTGTGATCCTTAGCTTATTCTTCTAAGTAGGGCTGGGATTTAAAGGGTATTCCCCAGACACTAGCAGAGATAGACAGCAGACCCTGCTGCCTTTTTGGAAGACAAGACCAACATGAGGTCCCTGGTAGGATTAAACTTGATTTGTAGCTGTAGGATTTTTTAACAGATGTATTATTGGACAGGGAATAGGGGGCCACCAGCACAGCAAAATTGAATCATGACTGGCATTCTCAGGGAGTATGCTGCCTGCTAAAACAGCAGCTGCATGTGGATTTGACTTCTTTCAGGTGAAGCGACTTCCAGTCATTTGGAAAGGATGGGATGAAAAGGAACCTTGGTGATAATTTTGATGTCTGCAAGATTTAGTACCAGTGTAATGGGATTATCGGTAACACCTTCACTGCAGAAAAAGCCACCTGGCGTTATAACTGGCAGCAACTGAGAACTAATCCTTTCCCATCTCTTGGATGTCATTCATGAAGCTCAAAGCGATTTCTGCCCTGCTAACTGTGATTAATTTTATAAACAACAACAAAAACCAGGTGATCAAGGCAAAAAATATATTTTTTATTCTAATATGTAGATGTAAGTAATATGACTTATAAATTCTGTGACATATAAAAACTGAGCATCATATGCTTCAAAATTTATTAAATTGTTTAAATATAAAACTTGTTTGGTGATGTCTTATGCTTTTTTAGTTGAGTGACCAAGTAATTGCTGTTAGTAAAAGTTTGTATGTGATATTAAATATTAATTTAAATATTTTTATATTCTTTTAGATATAGGGCCATATTGATATAAAATATGTATCGATGTAAGAAATTGAAAGTAATTTGTTTTGACAAACATTTTACCTGGTTTTGATTGTTTGAGTTGCTGATGACAAACATTTGGTAATTTAAAATATATAAGACACATTTATGATAGTTAAGTAACATTAGCTCAAACTGTTGATAAAATGACTCTTTGTGAGGAATATATGACGTAATATGACCAAGGCTGAGAATTAATTAATTGGTTAGTTAATGCAGTGTTGAGCGGCTATTTCTAGAGATCAGTGGTTCTCAGTCTAGCTTTTATTCAGCACATGGAAAAGTTATTTGCTCTAGAATCAGTCCATTTGTTAATTTTTAAAAACATTTCATTTCAACCCAGAACCTTATCAAATACATTGTTTAGAGGTGTTAATTGTTTTAATATTCCTCTCTTATACTATTCAGAATAAACTGAAAGAAAATGAAGTGAAATTATTCCATCAGTCACCCAAACAGTATGCACCATAACTGCCAAGACAAGAAAAGATAATTAGTGTTGTCAGTGTTATGATCTCAGAGTAGTTAATTTAAAAATATTTATTCATAGGACTTGACTTGTATCTTATTGTGCTTCTTGATCTAGTAGCTTTACATTTCAAAAATAGATTATAAAAATGCATTTTAGGTGTTCTTAAGCTTTAAATTTTAACTGATTATGGGTGACTAACATACCTTCATGATATTATAAGAGTAAAGCACAATCACTTACTTTATAGATGTGCCTATAGTATTTGTGTGCACATAGTGCCTTTCAATTTTTTTTTTTTTGGTTTTTGTTTTTTTTGTTGTTGTTGTTGTTGTTGTTATTTTGAGACAGAGTTTCTTTGTGTAGCCCTGGCTGTCCTGGAACTCACTCTGTAGACCAGGCTGGCCTCAAACTCAGAAATCCGCCTGCCTCTGCCTCCCAAGTGCTGGGATTAAAGGCGTGCGCCACCATTGCCTAGCTGCCTTTCATCTTCATGTACTGTCTTTACTGGAAAGCCATCAAGTAGAATGCAAGTGTGAATAGCGTTTTGCCTACTCTTCCTGCAAGTATGTTATTGCTGGATTTGGTGTGACCAGTTTCAAGCTACTACATTGTAAGTGTGCTTCTTCATTTTACTGTTTGAAATGAATGGGTAAGAAAGCTCAACACTATTTCACCTAAACTGTGTATTTTTACTACTTGAAAAATTAATTATTTAAAATTTTGTTATGATAAAAAGGGTTCCATGAAATAAAGGGACTGAAATCTTTCTTTCATCATCATGAAATTACTTATATAGGTCAGGTAGATTGCCATCATCTTGGATAATTTCTGCTTTAGTTAATAATACTGTGTGGTTGATTTTTTTAAAGTATCATTTAAAATCTATAAGTTTGCTTTTATTAAGCACAGCAGGAATTTAAAATAGTAGTTAAGCTGTTTATTAAGTGGTTCTTCAGAGTTAGTCTCCTTTTCTTCTTCAATTTTAGGTATCATTTGTATTTTGTTATAATTTCTTTTTCCTTAAGAAGACCTAAAATAAGTACATCTTAATTAAATTCAACATAAACATGTAAGGTCTTCCCAATGCTATACATTCTTTTGCATGAATATAGGTTATTTGAGTGTAGCACTCTGTTGGTAATTTATACATTTGAATTCATCTTGAAAAGGTAGATACTAATTTAATTTGCAGCATTGATGACACATAATGATGTAAGTAAGAGTTGAGGTATTTTGCGAGATAAAATAATGGAATATAAGGTACAAGAAATGAGAGGTATATTTAAAAGGATATTAGATTTAACAGAACATTCCAAATGCTGCCCCTGCTGCCCCTGTTCACAGTCCCCTCCCCCCTACAAAGTCCCTTCCCTATCCCCCTTTATCCTCTTAGAGGGTGGGCCTTCCCTGGTGCATCAACTCTCTCCAGGATTAGGGGCATCATCTCCCACTGAGACCAGACAAGGCAGCCCTGTTGGGGATCCCATAGGGGCTACAGCTTTAGGGACAGCCCCCTCTCCGGTTGTTGGAGGACCCACATGGAGACTGAGCTGCACATGTGTGTTGTGATTGAAGAAATTGACTGAAATTATATGTTATAGATCTCATTATAAATTTTAACTGATGAGGGAAATTTATAGAATCATCCCAAAGTTAAGAATGGTTAAATCTTACGTTTCTGAAAATGGTGTACAGACTTCTATGGCCTCAAATGTCAGCCAAAGACCTTTTTGGGGCTTCCTTCCTAGGACTTGTTAAAATTGTCTCTTTGCTTGCAAGGAATCATTACTAGGGCCAAGAGCATGAGAATCAGAGTTACGAATTTTTAATTTTGGTTGATATTCAGTTATGGGTTATGATGCTACAGTCAAAGTGATGGAGTGTTTATTGCCTGAAACCTGAGAAGGATGCTAGATTTTTTTTTCCTCTTGGAATAAAAAAAAAAAAAAAGGCTTAATAAAATCTTCATAGATTGTGGGATCAGAGTGTTGTGAATTTGTAGGTTTTGAACATGGGAAGTAAACTGGGCAAATCTTGCAGTCGATTTAATATTTATAGATTTGGTCAATTCCTGAGCAGTCCTAAGGGTGATTTTGCTATAACAGGAGTTTGAATTGAGTTGTTGGAGGGGCTGCTGTGTGAACGTGAGTGACTGAGCCACTGAGCAGTGTGTGCCATGCAGCACTCATGGACCTTTTTTGTTCTCTCCTTTGTCAAAGTCACCTCCATTTAGGATCATAAGTGGATACATATCTTACAGTTGCTTCATATTCATCGTTCTATGGAAAAACATGGCTTTTAAAGTAATTTCATATCAGATATGTCAAAATAACTTTTTTTCTGGCCCAAATGGAAGTAAATACAGCAATAGTGTTTCTGAGGAAGGGTCTCATGTATTCCAGGCTAGCCTTAAATTCCCAACATTGAACTCCTGCTCTGCTCACCTCCATATCCCCAGGACTGAGAGCCACCACACTCTGCTAGCTTGTGGCTAAGACTAACATTTTTATAACTTGCAGTAAGTCCTCTTCTTATATCAATGCAGTAATGCTAACAAAACAATATTAATCGTTGCTTTAGTTGGCTGCTAAAATGTTCAGAAACCTGTAGTCTCAAGTATTTGACACATGAAAATTGCCCCGTGTTTGATACAAAATGCCTTCTCAAAGAATTTCATACCTAAGTCATCATTTATGGGCCATTTATGGCTTTGGAAAGTCTGAAATTACTCAAGTCTATTTCAGCCCTTTGATCTAAATTAGGATTGTAGAGTTAGTTAGTGTCAATGCCTCCAAACACTTAAATAAAGGAATCTTTTGTGTCTGGCTTTTGGAATTCACTTTGTTCAGTTTTTGTTGTTGGTTTTACTGTCAAGTCGAACATCTCTTTTCTCTATGTCACTTTTTATTCCCATATATCTGCCAGTTGCCGAAACATTTCTTTCACTGAAAATGAGAGATGTATAGCATCTGAGGAGAATGTAGGGTCAAATGGCTCTGTATGCTCTGAATTACATGAATAGTTCTCAAAATCTCTGTCCCTTGTTTTCTTCATCTGTAAAATGAGATTCTTGAATATTGAGCAAGTTAGCCTCTATAAAGCAATTACAACAGTGCCTGGCACACAGCAAACATTACTACTTAAAGACTTTCTGTTATTCTGATACTTGGCATTGTCTCATATATATATAGACAGAAACTGACTAACTGTGCTCCAGCATACTTACAGATCTTCTTATCAGTAATGTAAAATAGTGTGGCAAGATACCAGCTTTGCTTCCTTCTGACCAACATTACTTGAATTTTGCTATATTACTAGGGAAGATCATTCTGCATATCTCTTGCTATATTGACAATCACCATTTATAAACACTTTTTGTTTTTCTTAGATTTCCCACTAACTTTAATAGTGTGTATGTTCTTCTTTAAATGGATTGTTTCATTATCTTAATGACATAAATTTTTATGTCGATAGTTTTTAGAACATATAAATATAATAGGGAATAAAAGATACCATTTTTTGTTTCTTAGGTAGAATTAGAATTTTGAACCACAGGCTTCAAGGTACAAGCCTGTAATCCCAGCTACTTGGGAAGTGGAAACAAGAACTTTGCAGATTCAAGGCCTGCCTGGGCTAAAAGGTGAGTCAGGGCCAGCCCGCCTCAACAAATTAGTGAGAATGTGCTTCAAAGTCAAAGATGTCAAAGTGTCTGAGGCCATACCTCAGTGGTGGGTGCTTGCCTAGTTTCAGTTTTGAATGCACATGCTCTCCACATCTACCCACAACACAGCTAGGATATGGTAATTTATATAGCATATGGTAATGAATAGATGAACAAGGTTAGCCTCCTTGAGAATGTATAACAGTGGCTTTCAAATATTACTTTGCTTTATAGTCACCTGGAGAACTTGTTCATATAGAACACTGAGCCACATTCCCAAAGTATGCGGTTATATATCTTGAGCTTGCTTCCAATAATTTGAATTTATATTTCAAAAGATTGCCAGTTGATGCCATTTTCTGGTTTTGGGGGATATATTTGGATAATTTCTAGATTTATGTGTTAGTATCCTGATGAGATAAGTAGAATAATGGCCCTCTAAAGACCTCTATCTCCTAATCCCTGAACCTGTAAACACTTTATTGTTTATGGTAAAAGGATTTTGAAGATAGGATTAAAATAAGAACATTGATCATCATAGATTACTGTGAGATGAATGTAGTTATAAGTGTCTTTGTAAGTAAGAGAATGGGGAGGGACCATTGAGTGATGGAGATTTGCAAGGCTTTGAGGGTGAAGGAAAGAAACTCTGAGCCAATGAATGCTGGTAAAAAGCCAAGGATTTGTACCTAAAACATCTGGAAAGGACACTGTATAATTCTGACCTGCAGGCTGTGAGTTTATATATTTGTATTGTTTATGCTGTTAGATTTATGGTACTTTGTTTCAGCAGTCATGTACTAGTAATGACACATCAGTAACTAACTCTTAGCTTACTAGTTGACCTTATATCAGGAATTCTTGATCTCAGCTCATGATTGAGAAAACAAAAACATGTGAGACAATTTCTACCTTACATTTCTACAAGACTGAAAAGCTACCAACATCTGAGTCCCTTCTCTACACTTATAGTCTGGGTCTGAGATGAGGGAATGGGGTCATTCACAATGAGCATATTTTCCCACTTCTATATAATCAACACAACCTTCCACAGACCAGTCTAATCTAGACGCCAGTCCCTCATTGAGAGTCTTAAGTGAGTCTAGATTGTGCCAAGTTGATAAAACTCACCATTGTAGACCCAGGGAGTCATGGGAACAGGCCAGAGCAACAGTGGGGTTGATGGGTGTCCAAACCCCAGAAATCTCATCCTGAGATTGGGAAGAGTAGGATTGCTGTCCCACACCCCCCAGCCCTGCATGTCCCAGCATATGTAGCCCTGTGCCCCTGATCTTTGACTCACCAGAGGACACTATATAGCTGGCAACCAGGTTAAACCTGTTTTCCCTTATAAGGTCACATCTAGCAGCACCTGAAATTCCTATTCATGCAAATGAAGCATCCCCAGCTCTTTGGCCTTGGCCAATGATGTACACTCTCCAAAGGTTTAAATAAATAGCCTTTGTCCCCCTAATCTCAGAAGCTATTCCACTGTGTGTGTGTGTGTGTGTGTGTGTGTGTGTGTGTGTGTGTGTGTTCTTTGCCTGTGCACTCACCACCAAACAAGATCCTACCTCTACCCACCTGCCTGTCTCCCTCAAATCCAATCTGGTGTTATGAAATGGGTCTGGCTACACCAGTGGTAGAAGTGGACACAGGGCTTCAAACCAGCCTATGCTCTACTCTCTTTTTTTCCTTTAGATTTCTGATATGTCTTGTTTCCTTCATTGTCTACCTGTTTCCATGTTTTAGTTCCCAATCTACATACTACTTCACTTCTCTTTTCTTAGGCTGAATCTAATCTTAGTAAATTTATACAATAATTAACGTTGATTTTTATTTTTGAGGCAGAGTCTCACTGTGTTGCACACCTAGCCTTGAATTCAAGATCATCTTGCCTTAGCTTCACAAATATTTGGATTGTGAGAGTATTTCATAACATTCTTAAAATCTTTGATTCAACTACATTTAAAGTTATAATATCCTAACTATAAAAGTTTAAAAGGCCATTTTTTCCCCCAAAGATAGACAAATGGCCAATAAGCATAGGAAAAATATACTTAACATTATTTATTAACTCAATGAAAATCAGTGTCACAGCTGAGATATCAAGTCATATTTATTAAGATGACAATAAGAAAAACATAGATATTATGAGGTGTTGGTAAATATGTAGAGAAATTGAAATATTCATATATTTCTAATAAAACAAAAACTAAGAGGTTGTAGCTACAATCTGTACCTGCTTTTGAGAAGCAGTTTAAGAGTTCTGTATCAAGTTCAGCAAAACATTACTATGTAGCCACAGTTCCACTAAAAAGAACTGAAAAAATGTTTCTGCACAGAACAGGTACATTAAACATTAAAGTTTATGGAAACATTGTTGATAATTGGAAAAAAATCACAATCTAATGAGTTGATTAAAAAAAATGGTATATGTTTTCATTGGATTATTTAATGTCTCTCTCCCCCCTTCCCCCTGCCCTTCTCTCTGTTGCTGTGATAAAATACTCTGACAAAAGCAACTTGAGAGTGAGATGGTTTATTTTGGTTCACAGCTCAGGGTACTGTAGATCATGGCAGGGAACTCATGAAGACAGGAGCTTAAAGTAGCTGGTAACATGACATCCACAGTTAGGAAACAGAACAATGAATGCGTGAGATTGCTGCTTTGTCTCTTTCTCCATTTGTACAATCTAGGATTATCCCCTCTGGGGTCCTCTGTATTCATACTTCATACTTTTAAAGAAATAGTCTGTATAACTTAGCTAGATTTTGCAGTTGCTTTTTTTTTTTTTGGTCTGTACTTTCTTTTATTATCACCATAGTCTTTGCATCAAGATACATAGCAGTGATAGCAGGTTTCTTTTTAAAGGTTAGTATTAAATATTAAATAACTTCCCCATTTTAATTTTACATTACTCTGCCAAGAAAAAAAAAAGGATTTAAACTCAAGTTACTTGAAGCCTGGACATACTTCCATGATTAGCCGGGCTACATCGAGGCGTGGCTTTGTTTGTCCTAGAAAGATGGGACCAGGTTATAATTGTTTCTGAAAAGTGTGCTACAAAAATGGATGGCCCGTTATCAGCCAGGTTACAAAATAACGACGGGGGTAAGGGAGGGATATTTTCTTCAAGAAAAAACAAAACAGAATTTCTGAAGAATCCCAGTTCATAATTTTTTTCCCAAAATGGCTGGAGGAATGGGTAAAATCTCAACATGAGCCCCCACGTCCTATCTGTGAAGGAGCAGCAGTTGCCTTGCTGAGGTGACTGCCGGGAATGCATATGGGAGGCTTTGACAGCTAGCTGAAGCCTCACTGGTACTGACTTCTCTAAGAGGTTTCTTCTAGAAACAGACAACTCAGACTCTTCCTCCTACATACTTCAGCAAAGAAGTTATTTTTAAAAGCACTTGGGAAGTTCCTCCTCCACCCCTCAGGTGGGAAGGCTCAGAGAAGGGAGTCGTAGGTACAGCCACCTTCTAGGCCATAACGAAATTCCTGAAGGTTGGACACCCCATAGAAGTGGACAAAAGCTGCTGCCACCACCAGGACGTGGAAAATCTGATGAGACTGGAACCATATGTCAAATTTTCCAGGAAAGAAGCACTCAGGAATCCGAGCAGCATAAAGGCCAGCTCCGGTGATGTACATCACAGCCATGAGAAAGAACCAGCCCGTCTGGCCCACTGTGGTGGCCTTGACAAAGCCCTCAGCGATAGTAAAGTGCATGGTGGGTACAACACCACTCAAGCCAAGTCCCAGGAACACTCCTGCTCTTGTCTGCCGGTGCTTAGGAGTGGCAGACCGGTCCCACTGTGCCACAATGATGGCAGAGATGCCCAGGACACAGACGATAGAGAGGTAGATGAGCCGTGGCTGTGGGGAGCAGTAGAAGGAGTAGTAGAGCCAGGGGACGAAGCTCCCCATGATCAGTAGAGCAATCCCTGAATAGTCTAGTTTGGAAAAAGTCCTAGAGACCTTTTCTGAATGACAATAGACGGTGTGGAAGAGCCAGGAGAAGCTGAGGCAGAGCACTGCGCCCAGGAAGAACATCCCAAAGACCACCTTCTCCTGTAGAGGAGCCATGAAGTACATATTTGGTCTGAGCATGGTCAAGATTCCCAGAAAGAGAAATAGCACAAAACCAAGCAGATGTGTCCAGATGTTGCCAGTTTCTGTGTGGATGCGGAAGATGCTCTTGAAGCAAGCCCGGAAGGAGGACATAGGTGGCCTGTGGCCATGTAGCAGGTAGTCACTGTCTTTCAGCCAGTCAGGAAGCACATCTTATGGGATGACCCTCCATCGTCCCTCCCAGACCTTATATACGAACTCTTCCATCTTCTCCATGGCATGGTGGGCTTGCAGAGGAAGCGTCAGTACCCGCACCTCCTCCTCCTCCTTCTTGTGGCACTGGGCATGTCTGTTCTTCTTCAACTTTGGCTGGGCTGGTGGCTGCCCGCTTGCCCTTCTCCTCCAGCAGGGGTGCCAGCTCAGCCAGCTCCTCTGTGTCAGCTTCTCTGTTACTAGAAGGAGCCCCATTGCCCTGTGCCGCAACAGATCCTTTGTGGGAAGACATCTGGCTGTTACTTCAGTGCCTTGAAGCTTCAGCTTGAGGAAAGGTTGGGGTCTCTCAGCCCCAGAGGGCAGAGATCTTCCTGTGATGGTGAACAGGCCTGGCTGGCTGCCTCTGCTGGGGGCCGCGGGCCTGGCCACTGCATCCCGCGGTGCTGGAGGCCGCCTGCGGCCAGCCGCCGATCCTCAGCGCCCTGCCCCGCTGGAAGGGCAGTTGCTTTGTTTTTACTAAGAACATTAGCCTTTTGCAGCTACTGTCACAACTGGCATTGAAGTTCTTCTGCTTGACTTCTTGTTCAGTAATTACCTTTTGTCTTACCACCTTTTCTTTCTCTCACCACTAGTCTTATGATTCCCCCTCTCTCTGTCTCTTTGGAGTATTATTGTTAACTCTTCCCTT